TAAAGTCAGAAAACCAGGAACATCGGATGAAAATAAATCATTGTAACTGTAATGGTATTATTAAGTACTCATACTGGTACTCGGTATCGGCAAGAACCCAAATGTAATTACTTGTATTTGATCTGAATCAAAGTGGTATTGGTGCAAGATAAAGAACGATGTGACAAACTATCTAAATATAAACTAAAATATCAGCATTACATGACATTTGACTGTAGATCTGTGTCTGTATTGCTATACAATCCTCTTTTATACATGCATCACTATATCTGTAACTTCACAGAAAGACGTAACCTTGAATGGGTAAAACACAATTTTAATACCATTTATGCACTACATTAAGAAAGGACTTCATTTTTTAAAGATTTTAAATACAAAGGTGAGATGAGATGAAGCAAGGTGGAAAGGAGGAAACAGACTATTGGGCTTTTTTTGTCCAACACAGCCATTGCACTAGTATCCCTGATGTGCACTGCTTGCGATTACTGCAACAAACACCTTTTCATCTTACCTTAACTGAGATGTTCTTGAGAAGCAACTGATCACCATTGTGCTCTTGCTCAGAAATAATTTTAGGACCTACAGAAATTAAGACAACACAATGAATATGTTTTCACAAAGCAACGCCCCAAAAGAAGAGTAAAACAGAAATATCACAGTCTACTTAAACATAAGATGGACAAAACTTTACTTGACTTTACAAGACAGTGTCTGCACCTTAAGTAAACACATGGCATCGTAACGTAACAAAACACACACTGAAGTCATGAAGAATAGGTCTCCTAACTTAGACTACATGATTAGTCCTCAAGGTGTTTAAATGTGTGCAACCATACTAAAGTTGCACAAATAAAAATGAATGCTGTGACCATAAACACATGTGAATGCTTTTACGTTACAAAGCTTATAAAAGAGGCCGATACGCAGCTTTACATTGACAGGAAAATGCCATGAATATTCGTCTGCGTTACAAAACCCAGTTGAGAGCCACTCGACTATCAAGAAAGGAGCAGTTTAGTGAAAAAATGAGTTCCTGTTTTTCAAGTATTCTGCTCTAAATCAGAGTTTGATAATGAAGCAGAATGACTCACTGGCTTCCTCTGTATCTCAAAAAACCCCCTTTACGTCTGTGTTAAAATAACCTCTGACCAACACTCAGCTGCAGCCATACCTGCAATCCCAATGAAGACTGTGAGGGCAAAGCAGATCAGGAACACCACGAAGACCAGGACAAAATGCCTCTTAGACAGCGTGTAGAGCCGCATGGGGGCCAATCTGTCACAGAGAGACATTCATTAGAGTTAATACACACACACACACACACACACACACACACACACACACACACACACACACACACACACTCACACACACACACACACACACACACACACACACACACACACACACACACGCACACACACACACACACACACACACACACACACACACACACACACACACACACACACACTCTCTCTCTCTCTCACACACACACACACACACACACACACACACACACACACACACACACACACACACACACACACACAGGATATGTCAACACTGCTAGCCCAGCATGCTAAGTTAAAGCTAGCAGGTAACAGATGGCAGATATTGCACAGTGGTTTTTAACACTTTCAGACATTGTTTAAACCCCCAGTGTCGCGTCTCGGGTGTGCCCGCTGACCCAGTCTCACACTTACAGCTCCATTTCCTTTGGTCCGCGGTCTCCGTGTCGAGAAAAGACGTTAAAACTTCGCAGTGAACCCACATCCGTGTTATCAACGTCAGTCTGCGGCAACGAGCGTGCAACGTCATCGGGTGGGCGGGGACCGGGGGGTCAGGTGACTCCAACGGGGCGGAAGAGAAAACGGTTGTTTGTTTCGGCTTTCTTGTGTCCTACCTCCTTTTTTCTTTAATTTATTTAATTAATTTATTTTTTAAATTTTTTTAAAAAATACATTGGTGTTAGTTTAGTGAAGCTGTGACATGACGTCGATATATGTTTTTCGTGGCTGTTTAATTTTGCCGAGAGGCTCGCGCTCTAAAGTCGGCCAAGGTAACGGTTAAAGTTCGGAACGTTGAGAAGAAGCTTCGCGCATGCGCAGCACAACCACGTCGTTGGTCAACGTTTAATTTATAATGAGCTAAAAATAATAAATAAATGTATATAATGAACTATTTAATCGATATTTGTTATATATCTTATATATTATATATTTCTTTCATTTTGAGCGATAGCATTTATGTTTTAAAATAGATGGATACCATCAGTTACACAATAAAACGTGTAAAAAATAAAATAAAACATTATAAATCAGAAATACAACACAAATACACTTAAAATATAAAGAGACAGTAAAACATCACACAGGGACGAAGCATTAAGAATAACAGGAGCTTTCTTTACTTTCCATGCTGTGTGCATAAATAGGATGTCAAAGGTGATATTATTTTTATTTCTAAGCCTTAAAGAGTGATGATAAATAAAGACTTTTTAATTTCTAATGAGCCATTTAAACGACATTTGATTCACCACCACATAATGCAGATGCAGGATTAAATCCCCTCCCTCAAGACAAAACACTTGTTGCCTTTAACGGCAACCAGGGGGCCTCTATCTCTAAACTGTGGTATTATCTAACCAATCAGTACATACTGAGAATATACAGCAACGTATAATTGATTGCACAGTTAATTTAATAAATTAAAAATATAAAGCCACAAACCCCCTCTTTATCTGCACCTGCCATCACAACACAACAGGCCCTATAATAAACAACAGCTCTGCCTTTTAGATGCACATTGTTAAATTAAAATCAACAGCATATATAAAGCTGTTTATGTAACGCAGCAGGAGGCGATGGGGATCGAACAGGAGACACACCTGTAAAAGCGGTCATCTCGGTAAGGTGTGAGGTCCTCCTTCAGCTCGTTGTAGGCCTCCTGTATCTTCCTGCAGAAGTATTTCAGCTCGCTGTACAGAGGGTTTTCCAACCCGGACGAGTAGTCGTTGTCCATTATTATCACACCGAGCCGACTGGCGGCTGGAAATGGCGCCGGGGAAACAACCCGCGGTCTGTAGAGGACAGAGCCGTGGGCCGCCGGTATTGTTAGGTCGTTTAATTGAAACTGCAGCCGAAGCTGTTTTTTGTTTGTGTCTATTCAGAAAGAACAAAAAAAAAAAGAAAGGGAGGTAAAAACACCGAAGGGAGGAGGAGGAGAGGAGGAAGGAGGAGAGGAGGAAGGAGGGAGGAGGAGAGGAGGAGTCACGTGATTAGAGTTCAGCACCACGGACAGAGACAGACAGCAGAGATACACCAAGGGTTGTTAGAGACATCATTCAACTTTATTTATTTATTTATTTATTCCAGTAAAAGGATAAACTGTGTTATAAACATATAACTATAAACTGTTTCTATTTTTTATTGTTTCGTCTTTTTTTTAAAAATATATGTTGTCATTGTAAAATTTAAAACTGTAAATAAAGTATTATTTAAAAAAGAGAAGAGGTGTAGATGATATTAATACTGGCCCACATACAGGTGAGACAACTACATAATTATTCATTTTGAGTGAAGTATTTCTTATTCCTTACTCCATCCACTCATAAAAACTGGACAATGTCATGCCTTTGTCATCCTAGGACAAAAACCCCACAAATTACAGTCCAATCAGGGTGTGGACATTTCCCAATTGAGTGTTTTTAGATATATATATTTGAGTCTACGAGGAACTGGGTTATTGTATTTCCACCTGTGCTGATCTGATCTTTCCTGATAGATCTGTTTGAGACAATAGAGCCACCTTGTGTAAACTCCAGTGCAAATGGCTGGCTGGGTTTGAACAAGTCCAAACCAAACAATAATACTGGATATATTCAGAAAACAAGACAGTATTGATTTATTTCTGAAACAATGACGTTTTATTCAAAAGATGCGTGACATATACAATTATAAAATAATTTACATGGCATGCCTCACTATCCATTCACTATAAACGTTCAGTCACCAAATCAGACTCAGATTCTTTTCAAGTGTTTTTGTCATTTAAGTCTACATCTACAAATACAAAGCACATATCTTTTCTAAAGAAAAGCCAAAATCCTACAATATCTACAACAGGTCATCTCATGAAATCAGTTTTAAAGTGAATCCTTAACCTAAGTCCACAGGCAAATTCTGAACATGAACTCAGTGGCTTACACTTGTGAACTTATGTGAACGATGTGTGTGTATATATGTGTGTGTATGTGTAAGAAGCCATGACCACACACGTTTAAAGATAATAGATTTAACACTGATGGGATTGGTAGACTGCACAGTTGAATACAGACACACCTTGACTTGACAGTTACACTCTACATAACTAGTCTACCGACTACACTAAACTGGGCACTTACTCATTCACATCTTTTTCCATCCAATGCAAACTTCACAAAACACAGAAAAATTTGCCCCCATTCCCGACCCTCCCTCCCGACCTGACACCCCCCCCCCCCCTTCCCATCCTGCAAATTTGGGCTACAAATTTTTAGCAACACAAAAGAAATGTTCAGAAAACTCCACAATATACAGTATGTATAGATACTATATCTCCTTTAGGAAACAATCTCATAAATAAAATGTACAGACCAGTAACTGAGATGCTGAACTAAAAGAACGGTATCAAACTGTGGTCAAAAGTGATGACAAATGACCCCCCCCCCCAAGAAAATATTGCACAACTAACACAAAAAGATGGATATTTTCTGTATGACATGCTCATGTTCTTTTCAAATTTTTTTTTAACGTTCAGTAGAGACTTTTTTTGAATTTATTTATTTTTAATCCCCCATCCCTACAACCCTACAACCCCCCTCCCCCGTCCCCCTCCCTCCCATCTGACAGACATGCATCTCGTTGTCATAATGAAAGATCACACTAAAGAATGTAACAATCTCATCGATTCAGAGACCAAAGCAGAGCTGGTCTAAAGCATTATCTTTATAATCGAGAAAGAAGTCTAAACCTCCCTCTTAGGTCCATTTTGTCAACTATTAAATCTGAGCAAATGTATATTTTGGCACACACCTAACTAATGTTATTAAGCCTAAATATTACTGCCCTTTTTTATTGACTTTGGCTACCATCTTTGCAGTGTCCTAATAATTTACTCCTGCCCACGCTCCTACCAGCTGGCCCTGCTCTGCGTCCTTAATTCAACATGAACACAAGCTTGACTGCCTGAAAGGAAAAAAAAAAACGAAACAAAGAGAAAGAAAAACAGCTTTTCAGATTTCAGTGTCAGCTTACTAAACGAACAGATTTCAATAGCTTCATCCTTCATTGGAGTTCTGACTTCAAAGATTCAGTAACAATGATTTCAGCTTAATTGTTAACTTTGTTTTGTGGTTGTAGCTGTCGAGTAGTACGATACAGTACTACACGCTTTGCTCCACACCTGAAATTACACTTAAAACACAGTGGAGACAGGTGTAAACAGACAGTCTGTCGAAGTCACCCAAGTCTCTTTACAACATTTACATATGACTGATATGTATTTACATGACTTCTGAAGTATGAAATGGCATAGGTGGAATATACAAAAATATTTCCTGTACCTTGCTTACATGTTTAGTGTGGTCTTTAAGAGCCGGACAACCCCCAACTACACACTCACTTCACAGAAGTGACAGCAGGTGACAAATCACTTCATGCCAGAGTTGTTCAATTCAGGCCACGGTGACTTCTTTTGCGCCCGTGTCACCATATGTAGATATTTCATTAAGTACAGGATATGTCAGTCAAAGCTTTTCTGTACGCCCCCTCCCCCCGGCCTCCTCCTCCCACCTGAATTAATACACAGCAATATTCAAATTCAGCCACCAGTCTCCCAAATAAAGCAGGTAAGCTGAAATCCATGTTGACAGGGTATGAAGATTGTATATCACAAACAATGACAATAATGTTAAAATTCATATCTGAATAGATAAAACAAAATGTACATATAAATTAATCCATGTAGCAGAGTAACGTTTCTTCTTCCTTCAAAGTCCCAGGAAACCATGTGGAAAAGACTGCAGTTCACCTCCTCTATACTCCTCGACAATCCCAAGTTTTTGACAGTGATGCACCTTCCACAACAGTGAAAAGTGTGACCTCTTAGTAGTGCTCCTAAATGATGCATATATATCTAAGCCTCAATTCCAGCCAAGATAGACTGAGATAGTAACAAAAGGAATGGCAGAGAGAAAAAACAAAAAGACCCTCCTACCCTCGACCATGTTTAGTAATTTAATAAAATCCTAAAAGCAAAAGCAGTATAATAAAGTGGTAACTGTTTCACTGAAGTTTTGTACAGCAATGGATTTCAGTGCCCAGTAGTACCTGTGCGCTCTGGGGAAAAAACAACAACTTTGATCTCCAGAGTGTGGTTTTCAAGTATTACTGCTGCTTCTTTTGAAAACTGCACCTTGATAATTCCTCTCCGTTCAGTTAACCGATCGGTTATCATGTCTATAAGCTTCTTCTAGCTAAAGCAGCATTTATTTGCATGATGATTACCAAAGCTCAGCTCTTTGGCCCTACATGCATTGCAAGGTGCCACCGATTGCCAAACGGAGCAAATCTGAGGGGCATCCTTGGCAAATGCAGCCAATGCTTATTGCACCAACTCTAGTGGCAGCATTGTGTAGTGCAGCGTGATTGTATCTCTCTATGACCAGGGCTGATTTTAGTCTTCTCTCCAAAATCAAAGTTTATTAATCTCAAATGAAACAACTGTGCCCCTTCAACAGATTGCATTTAAATCCCAGATATAACTCAGGGTAAGTAGGGAGAGGGCATCTCATTTGAGGCGTTGAGTAACATTGGCTAAAGCCACTGCGAAGGCTTGCACAGCAGAGAAGGGATACTGGAAGTCCAGGATGTAGGCATTGCCATCAATCCTGCCAAACTGCATCACCTGTGTAGAAAAACAAACATTTAATACAGTTTTTTTCATGTCCTTGACTGTATTTCACAATAATACTTGAAGTGATCATTACAGTATGAGGATAACATGCAGTGAGTGAGTAATGTCTTACCTGTCTGCCCTCCAGTTCAATTTGAAAGTTCTTAGCAGACTCCTGTGTGACACGTCCACCAAAGTCCAGCTGGTAGACCTGCGTGGCTTCATTCCACAGTGGCTGTTTGTTGGCCATTACGTACACAAACCCCTGGCTGCCCAGACCCCGGTCCTCCTTCTCGTTAGCCTTTCGACACTTGATCTCGTCCAGTTCGCTGGCAGCCCTCAGGTTCCTCTTACTCTTCCAGCCCTTCTTACCGCTCTGGCACTGATTGAGCAGCTCATCCCCACTGATGAACAGCTCTGGCTCACTCTCTGAACTGTCCTGGAACTCACTGTTGGCAGTGGCCTTACTCAGCTTCTTGGCCTTCAGCTGCTGCTCTTTCTGTCCCTTCAGCTTTTTCTTGTCCCTTCCTCCCAGCCGCGGACTGGAGATGAGTGAGTTGAAATCACCCAAAGCTCTGCCCTCTTTTTTGGACTTGCTCCCTTCAGCCAGCGGTGGCACATTAGCCTCCTCAGTGCGTCCGTCTACCCGCTTGCGGTTTTTCTTGCTGAACTTCTCAGACCGCTGTGGCACAGGGCTCTCAGTCAACGAGAGCACCTCCTGAAAACTTTCCCCAGCCTCTGCCATGGCCTCCTGTAATCCTCCATGGCTCTGCAGCTCTGCTGGTGGTGGTGGAGGGGGAGGTGGGGGAGGAGGAGGAGGTGAGAGAACATTTTTGTCTATTGCCATGTGGGAGGCTTTTGGTGGTAGTGGCACTGCAGGACTGGGCATAGGTGGGCAAGAGTTATACGTACCCCAAGGAGTGTGAAGGGCAATGGGGGGAATGGGAAGCCCCGCACAAGCGCTTCCTCCTGGATACATGGGTGGGAGAGGGCAGCAGGCAAGGTTTGCCAGGTTTGCAGGGTAACCTGGTGGTAAGACAATGGTTGCATCCTGCTGTGAGAAGGGTACTGGTGCCACCACCTCCTTTGGGGAGGAGCAGGGGCGTGGTGACCCTGGGATGGGCTGAGCTCCAGAATAGGAAGTTGCTGGAGGGTACTGGAGAGAGATCTGGTAGCCTGCAGCTGCTGCAGCAGCTTGAAATGATGCAGCACTGGGGCTGGTGGGGGACTTTGGAGAAAGGACAAAAGGCAGCCTGGACACATCCAAGTGCTGAGCTGGGCTAAGAATAAGTGGGGGTGGTTTGTGTGGTCCAGGGGGGCCATTGGGATTCAGTGTTGCTGTCCGTTCCTGTGGGACCCACACCTCCTCCGTGGCAGCTGGGTCCCACTGATAGGGAGGTGGGCGTTTCACAACCAGCCCTGGTGCATCATTTCCTCCTAGTGCCAGATGCCTCAGTGACTGGTTCAGTGTTTCATCCTCAGTAAATGCTGAATTAACATAATCAGCCCTGTCTCTGCTACTTCCTCCTCCTCCTGTTACAGTCCCAGATCCTTCAAGAGAGCTCAGCAGGTTGTAAGAGGACTGGGAGGCCAGAGCAGTAGCGCTGTTGGAGTGAACGATAACTGTGCTGTGTGGCGCCCCGTTCCCTGGAGGGAAATCCTGTCTGATAATAGTTCCTCCTGCTATCCCATTAGCACTTCCTGGAGCAGTGCTTCCAACACTGGATCCACTGCTACACTGACTGCAGGTGTATAAGGCTGTTGGCACCCTCTGCTGGAATGATGCTGCTAGTGCACCACTGTTTTTAGCCTTTGGAGGCAGTGGTCTGGGTGGTTCCAGCATCTGGGAAACTTTAAGAGCGGCCTCTCGGCTGTTCCTCCTGAGAGTAGCATGGATTAGGCTGCTGTCGAGCCTCTGTCCAGGGTTCCTGCCAACAGCACTGTTCTGATTGGCTGCGTCAGGGTATGGGGGCGGGTCTCCACTGGGTATGGAATAGCGAGGTGCAGTGAGTCTGTTGAGCGTGGCTGAGGTGTAGGGCAGCTGGATTTTCTTGTCAGCTGAGGAGGTGGATGATGAGGAAGTGACCCTGAGAGTGGCAGAGCTGCCAGGTCCCTGGAGTGTGTAGACATTCTGATTGCAGACAAGGCGTGTTCGAGGACGACATACTTCCTCCACATTCCCACTGCTGTCAAATGTCGTTATCCTCTCATATCCCAGTGGTGTGGGGTATGCTTGTTGCTGACCTGAAGGATAAAGTGGGAACTCTCCCTTCTTCATACAAAGGTCACCAGGGGGAGGAGTCCCATTGGCGCCTCCTCCTGCTCCAGATGCAGCATTAGAGGCTGCAGCGGAGGCTGATGCTGCTGCAGCAGCAGCTGCTGCGGCAGCCACAGCGGCGGCCACTGTCCCGGGGTAGGGGGGCGGGGGGTTCATCTTGCTGAGCTCTAGAGGGGCACTGAACACCACAGTATCACCCTCAGCCAGCTGTGGAGTTGACCGAGTGGTTTTGATTTTCAGTAAGTGTTCGTGTTCGCCCCCCACTGCTCTCTCAACCACTAAATCAGAAGGTGGATGAGGGATCTGTATCTGCAGCGCTCCCGGCTGGAGCTGGTGCACAGATGCACCTGAAGGCTGTCCTGATGACATAGAGGGAACAGGAATTTGAATTTGGAGCTGCTGCTGAAGTTGATGGTGGTGCTGCTGTTGCTGCAGCTGATGCTGCTGCTGTGATTGCTGTTGATGATGTATTTGCTGCTGTTGCTGCAGGTGCTGCTGAATTTGTTGATGCTGCTGTTGTAGTTGTTGCTGTTGCTGTATGTGCTGTTGGAGCTGATGTTGATGCTGCTGTTGCTGTATGTGTTGGAGCTGCTGCTGAATGTGATGCTGCTGAATGTGCTGTTGCTGAAGCTGCTGTTGTTGTTGTATGTGTTGGTGCTGCAGCATCTGCTGCTGCTGCTGTTGGAGTTGCTGCTGCTGCTGTTGGAGCTGTTGCTGCTGCTGCTGGAGCTGTTGCTGCTGCTGCTGTTGGAGTTGTTGCTGCTGCTGCTGGAGTTGCTGCTGCTGCTGCTGTTGGAGTTGTTGCTGCTGCTGCTGTTGTTGTTGGAGTTGTTGTTGGTGGTGCTGAATTTGTTGGTGGTGTTGTAGCTGTTGCTGTTGATGGTGGTGCTGTTGCTGCTGCTGTTGTTGTTGTTGATGGTGACTTGGTTGTTGTTGCTGTTGTTGTGAAGGATGATGAGAAGGTGGAGGTCCCACCATTAGGCGACCCATTTCTAGTCCCCCAAAGATGACCTGACCAGGACTGGAGTACCTGGTGGGAACTGTGTACTGGGCTGTCAGGATGGTGTCCTGGCTTTGGTCTGACGCACCTGCAGCAGCCCCAGCAGGGTTTGCTGTGGGATTTGTTAGGACATCCAGCTGAACATTTTGATTTGCTAGGAGTGACTGGACCAGACCGATGCTTTGGGCAGGCGAAATGGCCTGGGCGGGACTGTGAATGGGGGCAATAGGGATGTTGACAGTGCAGGGTGGGTTGTCGTCGGCACCACCAGCAGGGCCTGTGACAGGCAGGTCATCTTCATCTTCACTGAAGACGTTGGGGCTAAAGACAGGCAGATTGATGTAGTCCATGGAGATCTTACGCACCTCAGGCAGGTAGATGGTCATCTGTCTAGGCTGCAGATGGAGGAGGCTTGTCTTATAAATGACTAGGGGGAGAAAGACAGAATGAGTAAGAATGAGAATACAAATAAAAAGGTAACTGAAAAATCAGACTAATGACAATAAATGTTATTCATTTATCCATTTAGGGATAAATGCTAAAGGCAAAGGTGTTGATTGGTTACCTGCACCAAGATTGGTTGGCAAGAATGTGGCCAGCCCCACAATCTTGAACTTTGTTCCCCAAATATTGGATGTGACCTGAGCAAGGTAATTTTGCTGCAAGAGAGGAAGAAAGATAATCATTGGTTACTATTTAAACGTACAAAAGATCTACAGAATAAATAAAGTTCACCATCGAACAAAACAAAATAATGAACAAAGCTTAAATAATTTGACTTTTACCTGAGTGATGTCATCTAGAGGAAATTCCCTCCGTGTTAGACTGGGTGACCCAATCGAGGGTTTCCGTATAGGTAACCGTGGTGACCTGGAGATCTCTTGTGTAGCACGGGACAGTTTGGGCGATTTTCTGGGATCAATGTTGATCCTGTTGGTAAAGGGACAAACTAAGTCTCTACAGAGAAGGTAGCAAATAAAAAAAAGAATGTTTAGGCATGCAGTGAACGGTTGGAGGACGGAGGGACAACAATGTATGACATCTGAATGCATCATTAGGTTCTCTGCTGTCACAGAAAAATCTGAAATAATGCTGAATAACTGGGACTTATGTAGGAAATTATTTTTTAAAGACAACAAACAGCCTCTATGCACATGGACTGATGACTGCTGATGGGTCAAAGAACCAAGTTTCACACACATAAAACAGAAACATTGGCATGCTGCAGTACAAACAGGTACGAGGGGGCTGGTTACCTGGGCAGTTTGGGGGATTTGCTGCCCCTGGATATCTTTGGAGATTTCTTGCCAACCCAGTCGTCACTCAGCTCAATGTCACTGGAGTCTGAGCAGTTACAGCTGTCAATCATGGCAGATATCAAACTGTTGCCGTATATCTCATCTGAGCAGAGAAAATAAGAGCAGGGAAAGAATGGAGTAAGTTTTGAGTAAACAGATTGTGAATGTGTAGTCCTCAAGAAAAACTTTACTAAAAACAGAGCTAATATGTGGTGTTGTTTGTTCTCTTATTTACAATGATGCAGCAAAACTGTCACTTTGATGTTAAAAATAACATAATTGGCAAACACTTTCATAATCTTGCTGTTTCATGAGTATAACCTTGTGGACTAAATCAAGGAGGAAGACTTTGGAAATTAAAAAATACATTTGGCATTGGAGGAAATCTACTTTAACAACCTGGAGGTAGAAACCTTCATAATTTATGCAAAACATTACACATCACATGATGGCAGTAGCAATGTTCCACCATTTCTACAGATAAACATTTAAGCTCACTCGGTCCTAACAATTGTTTCAGTGCTTTCAATACTTCTCTTTTTCATCATTCATATGGAGTCTGTGAACCACTTCTGCTCCAGTTTAGGTCAAGCTAATTTATTTGATGGACATTAAAGTGTGGATGGGCTGGAACCATTTCATGGCTGGCTTCATTTATCACTGTGTGGGGAGGGTGCAGGTTGATTTATGAGGAACCCAGGGGCCATCAGAGCCCCCATTAAACAGCTTTTAATTAACATGGGCCCAGTCTGCCCTATGTGACTAAAACATACTCACTCTCTGAGTGCCAACTCAAGAAACTCAAATAACTGGAAAAGTACTGGAGCAGGCAAATATGTCTGGGAGGAATACATCTAGCGGTTCTATTTTAATCTTTACAAACAGTAAAACATGCGTGTACAGTATGTAATGATTAAATAACTCATATTAGTATTATCGAAAACACATTTTGGTTCTTGAACAGCCATCCAAATCCAGGTCTGTTACACACAGGGTAGTAAGAGCTCATTGAACACACGAGTGTAAGAAATTCTAATATACTTTACAATTACGTAGGGATGTCCCAATCCAAGTCATATAATATTGAGTCGATCCAATACTTGTATTTTTTTTTAGATAATACAGTGCACACATCAAGTACATTAAAGTTATTAAAATCAATCAAATGCTTGACAATTACATAGCTCTGCATCGCATTAAGAAACAAAATGCCTGTTTTACCTGTTTTTCCATCCGTCTTGGGGTCCATAATGACAAACTCTGGACGCAGTTTACTTATTCGTCTGCCTTTGAGGATAGGCACCAGACCTCCTAGGTACTCCAGGTACAGAGTGTAGCAGGGCCCCCCAACCTCAGGGTTATCCTCTGTACGCTTCATGGTACAGTGCAGACGCTCGTTTCCAGCTGTCGGGTAGCTCACAAAATCGCGCATGTTGTTGGGATCTGGGATGGGGGGCTGAAAGAGAAAACATGGGGTTGTAGAGAAGTTCAAATACATTTGAAGTGTATTGCTATTAAAGATTGTTAGAGATACACTTTGCCTGGGCTAATCTCGGTCCAGTAATGACTTGCTGTTTCAGAAGGTAACATCTATGACAGCACTGGCATGCATCAAGTAAGTTTCCAGGAAGCTCTTCATGTTTATTGTTTATGGTTTTAATGGATCTAGCACCTCCTGTTCTGGGTTACCTTGATGGTGGGGACGAAAGCAGTAGTGACGTAAGAACAGAGGCGGGAAGGCATGGTGAGCTTGGCAACATCTTTTTCCTCCTTCACTGCTGTGGCGATGCCCTGCTGGCAGAGTAGCTGCAAGTTGGCAACGCGGTGCTCCACTCGCACAACGTAGAGCGCCGGGCCACAGGCCAAGAACAGACGAGAGTCCCGGTGACCCCAGCACAGCGTAGTGATGGGGCGCTGCAGGGTGATGGAGTAGATACATTGGAGAGAGGATAAGAGTGTTTTGTCACATTTACGGCATACTGCAATACATCTTTTCAAAACAGTTCATATTCAGCATAAAAGACGGATCAATGTTTGGGTTTCTGACTGTTATGGCGGCGATAAAACTCTTTCTTGAACTTTGCAGGCATGTCTTCATTCATTAATATTCTTTTAATCTTCTTGGAAGGTTTGACACATGGTGCAGCATCTTGAATGTTAGATCAACTGTAATCAACTGAGGACAATTTGACATAATTTTGCATGCATTTTAACATGCTTGACTATATCAAACTGTCCCAATAAAAACTGAGTTTAAATAAACGTAGACGCTAGACAGCAGTGTTATTTACAGCAATTTACATCATTTTACATTTGCAACTTCACTTTGTTACTTTGTGTCAGTCTGGTAGTTTAAAAACACCCTAATTGAAGTGTTTTTTCCTGAGATGACAGCCACATTTCTCCAGCTACTGACGTCTTAGCTCTCCAAACACACATTGAGGAGTCCAATCATTAAGAAAGGGAAACAAAATACATAAATGCAGGGCTGAGGAAACACAATTACAAACACATTACATTAGTTAAGTAAAATTTGCTACCATAAATTAGAAATCTGAGTACTACGACAGGTTTGGACAGTTAAATGATCACCTGTGCTGGTGTGTCCAGTGTGTAGATGTGTTCACCCCGAACGTTGTAGAACTTAACAATGGCATTCCTGGTGGGAGGAGGGCAGGAAGGGTCAGGGGATAGGAGGGTCCTCTCCATCCCTGCCACTGCTAGTAGGTCCCCCTGCGAGCACCACTGGACCACCACATCTACAGCGCAAGTCACAGGAGAAAAAGTAACCATAATGTTATACACAAAATTCCCCGAGACATCATTTGTTAGTCGGTATAACGAAGAGAGAGAGAAGCAAAGAAAGTTGCACACTTGGGTATGCATTAATGAGAAGACACCCACACACCTTTCAGACCGGTGCGGATGAGGGTGGGAGAGAGGTCATCGTAGTTGTTCATCAGGCTGATGTCTCCAGATGTGAAGCTGACTGTCAGCAGTGGTTTCTGGCTGTGCACTGAGTAGAGACAAACACAAACATCTTAGACAGGCAGTGTGAGAGCAACACAGTGAAGTGAGAGACAGTTTAAAGTACATGATATCAACAAATTGTTCATCTATGAATAAGACGATCCATAACACAAGATGTGAATCAATGTCTATTCAGGGAAAAGACAAGTGTGAAAATTGCACAGACCTGTTAACTGAACAAAATGCAATCAGTAACTCTACATCAATGTTATCTGGGGGTTTTACTTTATATAACAAAACGTAGAATGTGAGCAACATGTAGGCTTATTACAGCCACGATCTACCCTGACACGAAATAAGGGTAGGATTGATATGATTAATTGATTAGTTAATCCACAGGAAATTGTACGACAGCTATTTCACAATTAATTGATTAAGCAAAAGCAAAAATACCAAACATGGCCTAGTTCCCGCTTCTCAAATGAGAGTGTGTTTTGGAGTGTTGGTTTGATGGCATCACTTTGGTGTTTAGAAAACTGTGACAGGCATTTTCTTGACATTTCACAGACCAAAGGGATCAATCAAGAAAATAATTTGCAGATTAATTGACAGTTAAAAGAATTATAAGTTTCAGCCATAAATGAGCTACCATACTGGCAACCTGCAGTGGATGAGATGATTAAAATGCAGAGTGGGACATACAATACTGTGTGTGTGTGCCTATTTGTGAGGCTGTCTGTGTTTACTATAGAGGTAGTTGGGGGGCTTTTGTGAGAGAGGAAAGGACAGTTCCACATCCTTGGCAGCTGTAATTCATTTTCAGTGAGTGAGACTGTTGCCTTTACACACACTCAGCACATTTAACTGCTGCATTTGTAGCTGCAAATAAGTAGCATTCTCAGTCAAACTGCTATAAATAAAACACCTTCAGACAACCACCCATACGTTTTCCATTAAAACATCCTTGAGTCTGTCCTTTCACATAGTGCTGCAATGACCCAAATACCAACACAAATTAAATATCCACCTCTGCTTTTGACTTTCAGCCCACAACAGTTACTACCTCCCTGTAGTAATCAGTTTACAATGGCTGTTGCATTAAATCAGATATATGATGCCGCTGTAAATGCAATGTGTTGTGCTGTGCAGTGCAGTGATAATGGGTCATCATCATAGATCATGACAGAGAGATCTGGCAGGCGGATGAAGAGGCGGCCTGGTGTCTAAGTCAGGTTGTCGACTTGAGAGATAATTTCTATCGGGGCCAATCAATTACTATCGACTGGTTTAATTAGTGAGTTAGAGCATAATCAGTGTTCCAGCTAAGGCAAGCACTTTTCAGCTCAACCACTTGGCCCACGGTGAAGGGAGGGAAGGAAAAAATAAATAAATAAATAGCACAGCCGGAGGAAGACAGACCCTCACCAATATAGCCTTAGCAACTGGGACTAATTAAGCTCAAGAGAAAAGGAGTCAAAAAGACGAAAAAGGAACCAATAAAAATGAGGCTGTTACGTGGGCTGGCGTACACAGTGGAAGCAGCAGGAGGGTGGGGAAAGCTAACCACATGCAACTCTTCCCTTGTGTGACTGCTCACGTCTCAGTGCATCACATACGCACCCACATCTATATCTATGTATTGGCATTAGACAGTGAACTCAACAGATACGCTCTCAGGCTCACTGTTGACTGTTCTTAATTACTACCATTGTACATATCTGTAGAAAGACAATTCTGGAAACGCTGACACGGCTCTCATCATTAGAGGATTAACAGAATTTGAGTCATGACAATCTGAAAATAAGTTAGTTGGAGGGGAAGTGTTTATCTTGCAACTGCGCCAACTCAGGTAATGAGGGCTAATGCTAACAGGCCTTAATGCTAACAATATTAAGCAGTCAACTGTGGAATCACATTACAGTACCAGAGCTATATTCTAGACAATGCTAAAAAAAAAATACAGTCAGAATAGATTAATTAAATAAAATGATTAAAATCAATACTTTCCACTGAGGTGACATTTAAGATGCCACTACTGTACAAACAGCCAGTGTTGTTTTTGGACATTTCAGTAATGTTTATTACATCATTACATCATTTTCCAGGTTCCAGGCTGTGATTGTCCACTTGAGTATACCGTGAGTGTGCTGCATATGAAGAGTCTAGTGACGCACACCCTTACACTGTAACAGCTGCTGCTGTTATGACATTAGCTATTGCACCATTAAGAGCAAACAGGAGGTCCAATGGTAACGTCAGCCCAATGTCAGGAGAGCTCTTTTTCACTACGCTCCTCCTTCACCACCGCTCCCCCACACCCACTTTCCATTTGGTCACACTCTTTTGTTTTAATGAGTCTCTCCCTCCCTGTCTTCACAACTGGCGGAGAAGTGGAAAATAGTTGAATAGTCACTTTCCCACTTCTGAAGCTTTATTAGATGATGCATTGCCAGTGAGATCAGCATCACAAATGACTGCCCTATAAGCTTAAATTACTACCTTTTGCACTTTTACTCAATAGTAAACTTGAACGGCATGACAAAGAAACAACAGGCATAGTTTTGATCATCTGGCTACGACAATTGACCAGAATTATTACACTGCTGCATGTAACTAGTCAAACTCATTGATCTGCCAACGGCCTTCATTAAATGAACAGACTTCAGCCGCAGTGTGTATAAAAAGGTATCTGTGTGTTATTCAAGAACATGCCAAATGTGATTTTATTTGGAGTATAATACCCCATGTACTACTCAACAGGACAAAGCAGGTACCTCAAGATAGACATTTAAACATGACAAAGACAATCAAAATCACAGAGAGCGTTAATGGCTGGCTCCATTTGTAGCTCAGAAGCACATAGTTGAACATGTTTATGATCTGATCCATTGTTTGTTTTTCTACTTAACCAAATGTATCAATTACTATTTCTCTTTCACATCTCGTTCATTGATAATACAATCTGAATATTAAACTAAAGACTGGACAGAGGACTGAGGCACAGTTTAACTACACCAATACACCTGGCATCCTCAGTCCCAGAGGATACTAATGATAATATAGTGCACACATACCAAACATAACTTGTGTCCCCACCTGTGCCCCTAGTTGGAAAAGTTTCCCCTTTCCCCTTGGACTAAGAGCATGAGGAAGAATTGATGGAGCAGTAAAAGATGGCGGTAAAAGGGGGGAGGAGTTAGGAGCTCACAGATGGTCCCACATCTGTTTTCCTCTGCACAGAGGTACCTACATATGAAACAGCTGGGCTACTCTGCCTCTGCAGTATACTCCTTATAGCTCCTTACTAGGTAAACCTATATTGCCTCCAATTCTACAGATTATACCCTTAGATAGTGTCTACCCTGGAAATGTGTCAGTCGTGTGCCTGAAGAGGCCACAAAGAGCCTTCTATTCAAATCAAACCTTGAGCAGTTTACCTTGTGGTGGTGAGTAGTCGTCAGAGTCTGTGTCGCTCTCACTGCTGTCCTCCACCAGGAAACTGGGATAGTTCCAAGACATGCTGACGATGCCATCCGACTCATGCAGCAGAATGTGGGCCAGCATGCGCCCATGGCAGTCCATCACTATCACCTGTCCATCTGCAGTACCAAACAACACCTAGAGAGAAATAGTAAAAGGGTTTTTAGTAAGAAGACAAAAGAGAGGGGGGAAGAAAACGACAAATTTAACTTGAACACAAAGACAGAAGAACAAAGATAGAAAGAGAGGCACACTTAGAAATGGAAAAGGAGATGGCAGATAGAGAGCAAAGAAAGTCAAGAGAAATGTATATCACAAGGAAAACAAGTTGGAGAAATAGACATAAATGGGATGAAAGCCATGAACAAAGACAGAGACACACATACAGACTGAAAGTTTGATGATGAACCTGAGCTGACAATTTAACAGCATGAAAGCAAAAACATAGCCTAACAAAACCACAACACATTCCAGACAGAGGATGCTTGCTGTCACTCACACATGATTTCCCTCAGGGCCTGTGTCTGCCTTCTGAATGACAAGCCAACGTACTATAAGTGGCAAATGAAAAACTAAGACTTCCACATCTATTAGCATTCAAAGGCTGGCTTAGTGCACACTATCACAATTCTGTGGTGCGTGTGTGTGTGTGTGTGTGTGTGTGTGTGTGTGGGTGTGTGGGTGTGTGAGCGTCTGTGCTACCTGCTGGTCGTCAGGGGTCCAGATACCACAGGTAATCTGGCTTTCCAGGTTGATCTCGGAAGACCAGTGTCTCTGCCCGCTGACCGATCCCACCAGGACAAAGCCATCACGGTAGGAGATAAGAGCCTGGGTGCCATCATGGGACCAGGTGAAGTCACTCACCTACAGGGCACCAGACAGACACATTAGTTAATAAAGAAGACAGAATGCCAGTCTGGTTATTAAAAACTACAGCCAGCTGTTGTCAAAAAATGTTTGTACACCATCAGCAAAATTGCATGTTCATTTTGTACTTGTAGTCATTTTTCTAGCAAAAATGTCAAACATGTGGCTCTGTCCTTGCTGCAGCAGCCATGGGTTCGACTCAAACCTGTGGCTCTTTGCTCTATGTCATCCCTTCTCGCTCTCCCCCTTTCCTTTCACTTTTCAGGTGTCACTATCAATTAAAGGACAAACATTTTCTGATTTTGAATGTGAGGTTTTTCGGCTTTTCTTTGTCATTCAGTGTAGTAAATTGTTCATCTTTGGGTTTTGGACCTGGAGAAGGAACTCGAAGATGCCTCCTCAGGCTCTGGTGAATTATAATGGACATTGTTCTCACAGTTTTCTGGCATTTTATACAGTGATTCATTATTAAAATAATTATGAGTAGCAGCCCTTAAGTAAACAATGTAAAATGCAATCTCCATCCAATTACCAGAAAGAATGGGGAAATTATCTTTATTAACAATGTTCACAATGTATTTTAGGTGCTCTAGTCTTCTCATTAGCAGGGCTAGTGATGAAGATGAGAAGCATTTTTTCAGAAGAGTTGTAAAGAGGACCACAGCCTCTAGGAGCCACTAGTGAGACATTTACACTTCACACATTAACCAGTGACCAGTACTGTCTGAGTACCACAGAATAAGGTAAACTGAAACTGCCTCTGCTAATGTCAGTATAGGAACACACTTGTTATTGAAACAAAACCTTCACCTCCAGGGAGGAAACAGCAGAGGCACAATTTCAAAACTATATAGGCCATATATCTAAAGAGAGGCTATTGTTTAGACTGTCATCTACTGACTAAATTGATCACAAAAGATAAGCCACCGTCAGGATGTGTCAGACTCAGCAGATGACAGTGATTGATGGATCAGGCCTACCCATCATATGTTTGCTTGGCAGTTATGCAATGTCAGGGACTATTTTTTTTTTTTTTTTTTTACAGTTGGGAAATATTGAAGGCAAATGGCTCAGTCAGTAACAATATGATGGGAGTGTGAAAAAATACAGGTTAATATGACTGACATGTTATTATATTTAGAGTCACATCACTTTATACAAGTATTAGAGTTTTGATTTATTAATGGACATACTTTTGTAAATCATTACTTTTGTGCTTCTGCTAGCTATTAATACAACGTATGTGTCAGTACATTACAAGTGCAATGTAAAATGCTCTTTTAATTTATTGATTTAATTCATGTCCCATTTTTGTGTAATGTGTTTTACCTGCGCTCCACGGTCATTGACCAGCTCCACAGACCAGCGGCCCTCATACTGGATCCAAACAAAGATCCCTCCATCTGTATCACAAGTGGCCAGTTTCTGGAAGGGCTCATTCCACCGCACCAAGACCACCTTAGAAGACCCAGAAAAAGAAATGAAAGGAGAGAAAAGGGACAAAACCTTTGATTAGAGGCTATCTTGAGTCTTTACAGCAGCTACCGTCTATGACCCTGACCCCTGTTCTCTAGTTGAATAAGTATTTTCAGATAAATATGCAAATGAACTCATTCCACACTGTTTTGTGTATGGCAGTCAAATAATTCAGCAGTGGCCTTGATTTGACACAGCTTTGCACCCTTAAGTACAACAGATAATTTGAGATGCTCAACAATACAATGCCGTGTCAGAGTGCCCTTGATCCAGACTCAACAACCCTCGGCTGCACACTCACAGCAAGTTGCTCTACATTGGAGCGTCAGCCTAAATGCCTAAAATGCAGAAAGTAAAATCCAAGTTCCAACTTTTCAATGAGCTAAATTTAGCACCGAACCAGATGAAAATACATCACAAAGTAGGTTAACCTCATTTTGAAAAAGTCGCAAAAGGAGCTGCTAATATCCTGAATATTACAGACAATGAAATTCAATTATTCCGTCTCTTATCAGATTGTCTAACCATACAACACTTCTCTTCAAACGTGGACATTTCTGAGTGTCCACTCCTTGTTTACAACAGGATACTGTAAACAATGGATAGTTGGTGTATTGCATGTTTCAATGCACAGGTTATGTTTCTATTTTTATTTTATGGAAAGCTGTGTTAGAATCAGAATTACAAATAATTTTAATCTAAAAAGAGAAAGTAACGCCAAGAGATGCAATTAAGAGAAAGAAGAGAATGTGAAAGGAGACACTGAATGCACTGATGCATGAACGCCCCTACATAAAACACTATATTGTGGTTTACAGATCAGACATACTCTGAACTGCAGTCTCTAGCGACAGTATCACAGATGCAAGGGATTCTGCATTTGCCCAGAGGTCAGTGAATATGGGAGATGGATCATCATTAGGCTAAGGAATGAGTTGCAGAGGAGGAGGGTTTTGATCACTGGTAGAGAGCAGTATAGATCAACCTGTTCATGTCACCCATTTTAAAGATCTCCATCCAGCCCCCTGCCCTTTCTCTATCTGCCTGGTCTTCTGTAGCGTGACTCAGCCTATTCCCAGAGGAATAATCCTAAGCAGGGAGCAGCTCTGCTCTCGCTGAGTGAAGCACGTGGGCTGTACACGCTCAAACACACAACACAGGGCTGGTTTTAGCGGGGCTTACGCTCTCTGAGTGCAAGTCCAACAGATCAGTGGCTGAAAGTTGGATAAGCCCGCCAATCTTGCTGTTTTTCATCACCATCCCCTCCTAACCCCCTGCAACAAACACACAGTCCAATCGATCCATGGTCCAGCTGAACAGGTGTCATCAACTGTGTGTTCCAACTATTTAATATTTCTCTGAGAAGAGAGTTACAGAAAAAATATGCAGAACCAAAGTAAACAATTATTCTATAACAACAAAATAATCTCTATTAAGAATTTGTTTTTGAAAAACTTGAAATAGTTAAGCACAAAACTTTAAAAGTATGTAAATTAAGTTTAAAGTAAGCACATCTTACTCTGTCAGTGTAATTTATTTTAGAGTTTTATTGTAGAGGTCCCCACCTGGCCTGAAACACAGAGTGCTTCTGCTAACGTCAGACAAAAAAAAAATCCTTTTTAAATTAAATATAATAATATTAAGCTGCTAAAGCTCCAGGGAAAACGAGCAGACGAGCTTCATCATACAGTCAAGGCAACTTATTTCATGAATCAGTAAATACGTAATCAGTAATGAAATAAACTGTCAACTGACAACAAGTTCAGGTCAGCAGGTGATACTTTATACTATCGTTTCACAGTAAATACTCTGAATGGCACAACATAATGTTAGGGGGGGGGGAAACCTGAGCTTCTCTGGGAAATAAGGAGACAAACAGCTTAATAAGTTACAACTGGGATGATGTGTGGGGGGAAAATTAAAAGTAAAGAAACTGCACTGAAGCTCAGAGGTCAGAGTGAGTTTGATAGTTCAATATATGGTGGAAAAAATCCCAGGTAGCTTTTGTTCAGGTTGTTCTATCTTCTAAGGTAATTTATATACTGAGCATTTTAGTGGACTGTACATGAGAAACGCTCCTATAAATAAAAGAAAATCATTTGAAAATGTTCCAGAAGAAGATATTTTGTATGGAACTACAGCAGCAATGCTGAGGTAACTCCTGTTACTACTCATATTTATCTGCAGGGTTTCCCCAACAATTCCCTATTTGCCACTGTCTTGTGTATTGTTAAATGTCTCCAGTGATAGGGTTATCCCAGGTGAACTCACACAAACATGTTTATATGAATACACCATGTGCAGCCCTCCAGTGTAATGAGGGTACAGTAGGATTCATCCCTCTCCTGGCCCTGCTCCCTCAGCAATAAGGTGTCCTGTGAGCCAGATTTACCATGTTTTCACTCCCAGTCCCAGTGGCATAAATCCTAATGTTGCACTAAAGGTGTGTCTCAGTTGGCAAGCCGCAGGAAAGCGGACACAACTGGACCTGGCCTGTTGCATGTCTGCAGCTAAGGTCTCTATGTCATTTTGACTGAGTTGACCATATTCATGGACCATTAAAAATGGCTTGCCATCTATCATTCAGCCACAGTGGTCACCTGATGCAGCAGTGCTCACTGGGCACAAAGCTTACAAGCTTCAGCTGTAGTATTGTCAAAGATAACAAATTTCCATGCTCATGGATGTCATTGGGGAAATACAAATCTGTCTTGTTACACCACTCGTGCACTGTCTACAACCTCTGGTGAGCAAAATGGATTTTCTGGATGGTATTATACAACCTAATTCAGCTCCAGCCAGTGCAGACGTGAGGCTTTAGATTAGGTTATTGAGCTCCAGTTTGCATAATTCTATCATTCAAAGACTTCACATAAAACAAAGAAGGGCCAAAGGAAAAACAGAACAGAAGAAAATAGGCAATTGGGTTTACACATGCTGTGTCTGGCATGTGCAATCACCTATCTGCAGCCTCACAGAGGTAGGAATAATCAGTGTATGGGTAAATTTAGCTCAGCGTGGAGATTAGTGTGAGCTGGACAGGCATCCCGCGAGGGGGACAGCTGAGCACCTCGCTGTGACGCAGCGATCTGGGAGATCAGACGTCACATGGAGACAGACAGGATAAGAGTGAGAAGCCACAGGACAGCGAGGGACCAGAGGGATCATGGGCAGAAAAGGCACGTGCACATATGCAAACAAACAGACTGCTTCATTAATCATCACGTGCTGAATGGTCAAAGACGAGTACTGATGAAAATTAATCACGATGCAGTTGATTAGTGTCCACATTTTTAAAGATCAATTCAAAGTACCACAGAATGAAATATAACACAAAAAGAAATTACACAGAGTTGTAGGAGGACTGCAGCACAACTGAAAAGGCCTAAAGCTACATGGTTTTTAAGCTCGTCTTCATCCCATCCCAACTAATACCTAGTCAGAGGAGAAGAGACTACACGTTTCCGATCCCTTTAATTCTGCCCTTTGGCCAGTGTATGGCCATTCACTACCTCAGCGTGGGAAGCTGGCACTGGCTCCACTCCTGCAGTGCCTTGTTGTTATCATTGCAGCCCTGGCCTCTTGCTGGGACTTAGAGACTGGGAGCGGAGCTGACCCTAGCAACTTAACTGAGAAGACCAAATCAAATCAAGGGACAGCTTTGGGTTGCATTGGAGTCAGCAGAAGTGAGAGGACACTGTGACAGTGCAGTGTCACAGTGGTGCAGTCGTGAGCACATGGTTCCATGGCAACACTGGTCGCTGGCACCAAGGACTTTCTTTTCACAAGAAGGTTATGAATAAGCAGGCTGGACTGTTAGGACATGAACTCTAGGTGAATGTCGCTCTTTCACATTTTAAAAATCCACTTTTGTTTTGCTCACATCTATAATTGCACACACAAGATGAAAACAAAGTACACATGGACTTGAACAAAACAAAAGAAGGGTTTATATCCTAAAAAAGCTAGAAAAAGTCAGTTATATATACGCCTATAAAAATTTGGTTCAGTTCAGCTGAGACTTTATTGTGCCATATGTGGACTTTGTACTGCAGCATGACAATAACAGACACATCAAAACAAACTTATTCATCAGTAAACCTGAACTAAAAAACAAACGAACATAAAATTAGAGAAAGTAACATATAATAGTTACAAAAAGACAGATTGAAAAATGTTCCTCCCAGAATTTCTTAACTAATGAGTTAAGAACTATTGGAAATTCAAGACCATCACTGACAATAAAAATCAGATACAGTACGTGCAAGCGAGTCGGGGAGCCTCTCCCCTTTCTCTCCACACTATCCCCTGATTCTGAGTCTGACATGATATTAAATCAGACACAAAACTCAATTAAAGGGAAGCACTGCGCTGATGCAAAAGCAAGGAACCCAAAGGCAAGGCCAGAGTGATTTGCAGCGCGACAGAAAGGGCAAAGGGACGGGACCTTCAGTGGAGGTAGAATCTGAAATGTTTACGAGTAGAGTAAGCATGTAATAAAACCTAAATCATTATCAATATTTGATAATAGCATTCACATTGATTATTACTGGGTGTTAGGCAAAGCTCGAGGAAAACAGATGCAGGCAAACTGTGAACTCTGGGTGATGGCGAGATCGACACACTGACTTGTCTGACTGTTCAGTTAAATACTTGTAAAACAGTGTGTCTTTGATAATATGGTAATTATTTAGTGTACAGCACGCCCCTGTACACGGCTCATATGGTGCATGCGTAAAAACTAGGTATGCATTGTCCGATAAAGGCTTTAAAATGAAACACTGTCATTGGCAATTTCTTCCGATATGACAGGCCGATATCTATGACATATGAATTGTAACACCTGACTCCAGCAGACTCTTCTCCAGTCCTTAAACAAATCCAGAAAATATGACCACAGCCACCCCAGGGCCAGAGACATCAATCAGAAACTCATGGAGTGTACTACTCTGGACAACCAGCTGTTTTCATTCGTTGAAGAT